TAGCAGGGGTTGGTGCAACATGGCAGCGTTGCCATTGTTTATAAAAGTTGTTCTTTATAATGTCGAAATAAACATGTCTCCAACCTCCATATCACACACTCATAAACATGAGTGTCACGTTCGCATGGGTCGAACAATAACACCCTAATGATTGGTTGACAATAGAGCCTCCCACAATGCAGGTGATGGCTGCAGGATGAAGTTGGTGAAGAGCAAGTGTAGAAACTTGCAGTTGACTGCAGCCAAAACTTCATGATCTTTGATCACATGACTTTTGATCACATGTAGGCGCAAGTCAGACAATTTGTATCCCCATAATGCAACACACTTTGAAAGGCGGTGACCAACGATGGTACCCGACTTGACAAAAGTGATCTTCTCGAACGCGGCCACTGTCACAACCTTGCTGTCACATTCTCCAGTGCTGCATCTCTGTATAGAGTCAGAACCTCTCCTGTAGCAGAGACAGACAGAGAGACCATTCTGTTGGACTGCAAACAGAATGGAGCAGAACTCTGGGTCTTTGCCTCATTAGTCATTAAAACCCACAAAAGGAAAAGAGGGAACATTTGTTCACTGAATCACTATAATTGAAAGGGGGATTTTAATGGCTGCTCTCCTCTCCTCTGGGCTGGTGATTTTCAAAATGCCTCTGCTGTCTTTGAACTGACAACCAGAATCAGAGTTTTGAGGTTTCTCACACAGCAATTAGGATCTGTTAGTGCTGGATCCAACTCCCAGTCTTACCTACCAAAACACACACACACACACACATACACACACTCACAAAACACAAAACACACAGCTTGCTGATAGGCCCATGTGAACAGCAGTAAGGGGACTCATTATTTTCTAATTACAGCATGCTGAGCAGCTCTGAGGGGAACAAGCCTGTCTGATAGACACAGGAAACAATTGTTCCTACAGGGAAGGCTGTCCAATGAGCTGGACTCTTTACACTGTAACTGTTATGACTTTACCAATAAGCTAGAGTCTGTTATGTCTCATTATGCATGAGAGGCAGAGTACAGAGCACTATTGTTGTAAAAACAGGCATGAGTACAAAGTGTTTGGATAGGGTGCATATAGAGTCGATGTTGTAGTCATCACTCCAGATATTTCCAATATTGTTAAATATGTTTTTTAAGTTGTTTCAGCTAGGGTGAGGGTAAGTTTCCATGGATATGGAATCTTTCTATAAAAACCTCTACCCCGGAACAAGAAGACGTTATGTAATGGCTCAGTGGTAGGGTACTAGTGGGTAACTAGCCCCCCCCCCTAAGAACAATGTCTAATTGCTGACACAAAAAAGCAATGTTTGTAAAAAAAAAAAAATGGTATGTGGATGAAGGTCCTGCTTAGACAAATAAACTATAAAGGTAAATAAATGGCTACAGTTTACACTAGTTATTTCATGAAATGTTGTTTAAAGAAAAGGGGCTTTTTAAAGTACCGGGTGTGCCAGTTACCCCGGTAGAAGATTATGGGATAGGGTTTCACACAAGTGTGTTAAAATCCATTTAATCAGTTTTATTTAGAAATTCTTTAGTAAGAAATACTTAAAAGTTAAGTCTAGTTGTCTTATTTTTATTATTTAAATAAAATATAGGGGGGAAATGGTGTTGCACATGTCACCATTAATATCTGCATTATGAGGAGATTTGATGTTAAGCCCTCTTTTTAACTCACTTGCATATTAATATTCTTTGTTCTTTCTTTGTTGTTCATTTCCCATACAATCCATTATGTACAATTGCACTAAATATGATTTGAATAATGCAAGATTTTAAATCCCAGCAGGCTTTAGAATGACATTCAGGAGCAAAATATTTTCAATAGTTGTTTTTAATTCATAAAAAAAAATATTCATTGGAATATCATATAGGAACGGAATATAACTAATAACATTAAATAACATTGGAATTTAATATTTAATAACAATAACTTAACTAATTAATTCAGTGCAACATTGATGTGGCAACTCTCTTATGCTCTACTATTGCGCGATTCTAATTTGTACATACAGTACCAGTCAAAAGTTTGGACACACCTACTCATTCCAGGGTTTTTCTTTATTTTTACTATTTTCTACATTGTAGAATAATAGTGAAGACATCAAAACTATGAAATAACACATATGGAATCATGTAGTAAACAAAAAATTGTTAAACACATCAAAATATATTTTATATTTGAGATTCTTCAAAGTAGCCACCCTTTGCCTTGATGACAGCTTTACACACTCTTGGCATTCTCTCAACCAGCTTCATGAGGTAGTCACCTGGAATGCATTTCAATTAACAGGTGTGCCTTCTTAAAAGTTATTTTGTGGAATTTCTTTCCTTCTTAATGCATTTGAGCCAATCAGCTGTGTTGTGACAAGGTAGGGTTGGTATACAGAAGATAGCCCTATTTGGTAAAAGACCAAGTCCATATTATGGCAAGAACAGCTGAAATAAGCAAAGAGAAACGACAGTCCATCATTACTTTAAGACATGAAGGTCAGTCAATCTGGAAAAAGAACTTTGAACGTTTTTTCAAGCGCAATCGCAAAAAACATCAAGCGCTATGATGAAACTGGCTCTCATGAGGACCGCCACAGTAATGGAAGACCCATAGTTACCTCTGCTGCAGAGGATAAGTTCATTAGCGTTACCAGCCTCAGAAATTGCAGCCCAAATAAATGCTTCACAGAGTTCAAGTAACAGACACATCTCAACATCAACTGTTCAGAGGAGACTGCATGAATCAGGCATTCATGGTCGAATTGCTGCAAAGAAACCACTACTAAAGGACACCAATAAGAAGAAGAGACTTGCTTGGGCCAAGAAACACAAGCAATGGACATTTGACCGGTGGAAATCTGTCCTTTGGTCTGATGAGTCCAAATTTGTGATTTTGGGTTCCAACCACCGTGTCTTTGTGAGACGCAGAGTAGGTGAATGGATCATCTCTGCATGTGTGGTTCCCACCGTGAAGCATGGAGGAGGAAGTGTGATGGTGTGGGGGTGCTTTGCTGGTGACACTGTCCGTGATTTATTAAGAATTCAAGGCACACTTAACCAGCATGGCTACCACAGCATTCTGCAGTGAAACGCCATCCCATCTGGTTTGCGCTTAGTGGGACTATCATTTGTTTTTCAACAGGACAATGACCCGACACACCTCCAGGCTGTGTAAGAGCTATTTGACCAATAAAGAGAGTGATGGAGTGCTGCATCAGATGCCCTGGCTTCCACAATCACCCGACCTCAATCCAACTGAGATGGCTTGGGATGAGTTGGACCGCAGAGTGAAGGAAAAGCAGCCAACAAGTGCTCAGCATACGTGGGAACTCCTTCAAGACTGTTGGAAAAGCATTCCTGGTGAAGCTGGTTGAGAGAATGCCAAGAGTGTGCAAAGCTGTCATCAAGGCAAAGGGTAGCTACTTTGAAGAATCTCAAATCTCAAATATATTTTGATTTGTTTAACACTTTTTTGGTTACTACATGATTCCATATGTGTTATTTCATAGTTTTGATGTCTTCACTATTATTCTACAATGTAGAAAATAGTAAAAATAAAGAAAAACCCTTGAATGAGTAGGTGTTTCCAAACTTTTGACTGGTACTGTAGGTCACAAATAAAGCTATCCCCAGTAAAATTGGAGCACAACTCATGAGCCCACCTCCTGCACTGCTCACACCTAATCCAGTCCCCACCTGTGACTGAAAATAGGGGGAGAGATGTCAACTGAAAAGCTCTCTCTTAAAAACGTAGCTAGCTATCTCGCTATATGACATAAAATGGTGTGTAAAATAGATAAAAGGCTATAAAGTAACATTAACTGTAAAGCTATCAGTCACTAGTGGAAACATTTACAACTGCAGTTAAGTTCAGTTATATTTTTAATGTATGTTACGTCAGACGATCTGATAGTAAGGTTGCTAGCTAGCACTCCTAGCAGCTTATGCTAACTAGCTAGCTGGCTAGCATTTACTGCTAGTGAAGTTGCAAGCTAGCATGTTAGCATAAACTAGCGCCAACTGGGCTGGTCATTGTCTAAATGACTGGTAGAAACATATTCATAACCATAAAGGGGTAACTAGCCCCCAGGGGAAAGTTACCCCCTAGTAAGGGGGGGGGGGGGGGGGGGGGGGGGCAAGTTGCCCCCAACACACTCATCCAACATATTACTATTTTACGAAAAAATTATCTAAATATTTATTTCTAAACAAGTGGATTATTTATCTTAAGGCTTTCCTACCTGTACATTTAAAAAACTATTATAGATCTACTTAATTGGAATAGATCTACGTGGTCCTCTGTAGCTCAGTTGGTAGAGCACGGCGCTTGTAATGCCAGGGTAGTGGGTTTGAATCCCCGGGACCACCCATATACAAAAATGAATGCACGCATGACTGTAAGTCGCTTTGGATAAAAGCGTCTGCTAAATGGCTTATTATTATCTACAACTTTTTCAAAACATAAAAAATATATATAAACTTACCACAAAATCATTTTGTTGAAATATCTCAAAACGTTGTGATGACACAGAGTCATTTTTGTTGTTGAGCAAGAGCAGTGGCAGCCAGGGAAAGTGTTTGGAAAATAATTTGGTGACATCTTGTGGGACAGTTACCCCAGGGGGCTAGTTACCCCCTAGTACCCTAATACCTCTCCAACCTTGTGAATGTTTAACGGTTCTGTGACTTCAGGAGCTCTGGGTTACTGTTGGTAAACCCATCACATGATCAGCATGTGCTACCATATCTGGCCCTGGGCAGTGGAACAATGCCTGTCTTTACTACAAAGTGCACCCGCCTTTAAAGTCAATAAGCATTGGTCATGTGAGGGGATTTACATATAATTTAGAACTGGTAATGTTGACTCATACTAATGACATGAGTCGGATGGCCATCTTTAACAGGAAAATGACAGATTCAATAGAATGAAAAGGGATAAACAATAAAACAATGAAACTAGAAGTCCTAATAGTGATAGCAAACACTTCTCACCGCAGCAGTCTCCTGTTGCAGGGCCTGGGTGGCGAAGCGGGCCACATGGGTGATGATGGGGGAGAAGTTGGTGGGGCCATAGAAGCGGATGTGAGGCAGGCAGGCAGAGTAGGCCTGGGCAATCCCATCCACGCCTGACCACAGGAAACAGGAATCACACATGGAAACCAGCACAAACCAGCACATTCACCAGCAGACAGAGGGTAGTTTTCAAATAAATTAGAAATAATACCCACTCCATGGATAAAGCAAGAAACAAACCCTAGTAAGTGCAGCCTGCAGTAAGTACATTGTAATAAGGTTTTTAATAGGGGTTACAGAAAACATAGTAGTTGCTCACCTTGGCAGAATGGATTGGTGGGGTCAAAGTTGATGGCAAATTCATGAGACACCTGCAGGTTCAGGAGACAAAAACCAAGCCTCAGGTGCAGAAATTGTACATTGAGAATTTCCAATGGCTGTAAGAGAGACTGTAGAGGAATGTGGGTGCAGTAGAAATATGCATTTCCATTGTATGATTGTAGCAGGTGGGAAAAGCAGTGAATCATGTGACAAGCATTTTCTCTTCCTCCCTTCCCACTGCTTCACATTATCTATTCTTTCTTGCTTTCCTCCTCTCCAATTCCATTACACATTCCCATCCCTGCAGTGCCCTTTCATTCCAATTTTTTCAACCTCTCCTTCCTCTACTTCCTCTAGTCCTCTCAGACCACTGATGGATTTAACCTCCCTAAACACTTCCCATAAAGTATATGAACGCAAGGCTAAATATTCTGTCCATTTCTGTTGCTCACCCTCCTCATTCCGTTGTCCTTTACATCAGTGCAGTGCCATGGCAACCCAGATGGGATGACAGTTGCATAATTATTGGAATATGCATGTATTATACATACTCCGTGATACCTCTGTCTTCCAGTCTCCCTCTTCTCTTTAGCATTCTTTTCGGCTCTACTTCTATCATATGTAGTGTGCCGTGAAGACACACCCTCACATGTAGACAGTACATACACTTACTTTCCAGTCTGGAGGGAGTTGAGCCCCAAATCCCAGAGCAGGAAACATTTTGTCACTGAGGAAGGAGGGCAACAGTTTGGCAGTGATGAGTAAAAAGCAACTTCAGCAAAAATCAACATCCAATTTTGCATTATGGAACATCTCAATAAACTTGGGATGGTTCTTTATCAGAAACAATGAGTGACATAAAGAATATGACTGAGTAGACACAGAATTAGAAGAGTTGAAGGGACCTTTTAGTGACTTAAGACTGTGATGTATAAAATAGAAGACTTTATTTATCTGTGATTTGATCATATTGAGTTCTGTCATTACTGTTTACACTAATGGGACTCACGTGTCATAGTCCTGGATGATCTGGCCCACAGCCAGGATGGCGGACAAGTACTCGTTGCTGCCCAAAGGGTTGATGTAGTGAAGAGAGGAGGCCTCCCGAGGGTTCCCATTAGATGCTGTGAAGTCAATGCCAACCTACAGGAACAGCAAGACAGAAGACAGACATGCTAACAAACACAAACAAAGCCTATAAACCAGCTTAAAATATGAACAAAGATGTGGAGCATAGAAAAAGATTCCAGTGAATCCTAGAGAGCCCTTTTTCAGGATATTGTCCTCAGGCAAAGTGACTTAATTTAAGATGGTTACAATATAAGCATGCTAATTAACTCAAATATTTCAACTAACAAGCCCTCCCTGAGGCGGTGAGTCCAAGCGTTCACACACCAACAAGCCCACATCCTCATCCAGTCCATGCTACTGCCTTTAACCAACAATCCTATCAAAGAGCATGGCTGCTACTCAGATCTCCTCCAGTTCCTACCAAAGCTGTGGCTGACAACTGGACAGCCTCTATTGGACAATAGATGGACAAGGTGAGGAGAGAAAGAGAAGAGAGATAAAGAGAGAAAGAGAGGGAGAGAAAGAGAGAAAGAGAGGGAAAGGGAGAGAGAGATACGATCTGACAGAATCAGGGTGCCACTTCATATGCCTGATCCCCTGCGTCTCAATCAAGCCCTAAGCAATGTGATGAGTGTGCTGCTACTCTGCATGAGCAGGGAATTGACTCAAATCTTCAGCTTTACCTCAATTTAGTCCAGATGAATGACCCCTCTGTTTCTTAACCATGTCTTTAACCCTGGGTACAGGGTTCTGATAGGGCTGGTCGGTGCTGAGATAACAACCTAATGTACAATCAGATGACCTCATGGATGACTACAAGTCTTAACACTGGTCTACTAAGCACCGCTCCACACCGCAGGCCTGACCTGTAGGCTAGTTTGACAACTACTCTAAAGCTGCTTTTAATACAATGCTATACTGCCGTGTTATATAGTCAATATGTTTTTCCCTGCAACTACCGCAAACACTGTAGTCTGTAGTTCCAGTCTATATATGAGCAGCGCTTCTCATCTGCATCTCTGTAGAGAAGATTTCTCCTCTAACAGATTAGGATTAGGTGCATGCTAAATCTGATTCAATGCCGTGGAACGGAGAGAGAGAGAACCGCTTTCTCTGTGAGACAACTCAAAGAGCTCTGACAAAATAAATCAGATTAAGAGAACTGTAGGATGCACCTTTGAGGATTTAGATTCACATTCCTTCTCAAACACCGATCTTGACTGAATTATAACATGCAGGTGTGAACTCTTGAAATAATTTGAATTATCATAGTGGATTAAGGTAGATGATTAAGGTGTTATGATCTTACTGGTATTTTGAACATATTTTTTTAATACATAAATATAATTTGTCCCAGTAGAAATTGTAGTACCTCCTCTTTTAAAATGGGATACATTTAGTAAAACTGTCAGGATTCATTGCAAATTTCCGGCCTAGCAGCTAGGTTTTTAGAAAATGTAAACTAAAAGGACAACAATATTATGGATACAGTACAACCACAAAATCCCTTGGTCTCTTAAGAGTGACCTATAAGATGTAGCCACCTAAAGCCAAACCATCGAGGTTGTCTCCAGTCATGTTCCTATTATTGTTTTCTGTCTCTCCCTCTTTTATTCCTGCAAAGACATAGTCTAGCTTCGGCACAAACCACAGTAACTATGGCAACACAAATGTTCTATTTGCTTTTTTTAAAAATCTGACAATAACATGGGGAGAAAATAATTTCTTGAACAGGACCACACATAGAGCTTGCTAATCAGAACAATGTCCACATAAATAAACAAATCTGGTCACATACAAGTAACTAAAGAGGTGTGGCAGAATGGAACGTTAATGGAAAGTTAATGTTACAATTCAGGGAATAATAAAAAACAGGTGGAGCTCTTTTGTGGCTGCAAAGTATATACAGAATATGGGCATAGAAGTCCATAGAAAGAGGAAATGAATAATGTATAATTATTTAACAACATGTACTGTACATGTGAGCGAAAATAGCTGTAAGTAGCAGTAGAAGTATTGTTGTCCATTAGTTTACTCCAATCAGGGGAGGGGTGGTAGGGTTGGGGGAAAAAATTCTAATACATTATTTATTTTTTAAATAAGGGGAATTAGAAATTATGCAAACAATTATATTGATAGAACCCAAAATCTATCTGCAATATTAAAGCTGATCTACCTACCTACCCCCCTGAAATAAAATAAAAACTAAGTCTACATTCTCTCTTGGTCTGTACTTAAGTATCTATACAACAACATGTCATGTTGGTAACAGTTGTTTTCACACTTTTATATACCCAGGGTGCTGAGAAAATAGGAAAATAGATCATGCATATATTTTGGCACCACAAAGGGAACAGATTCTCTGAGTATTTCACGGTAGCATGGATACGTAAGTGGTGGTGGTAGACAATGTTTCAGCACAATTGGAGATAAATACCCTGGCTGGTCAATAATAGAGCTCTGACACAAAGGTGTGACATCACCAGGGACGCACAATCTTTCTCTCATCAGCCTGAGCCAAAAATAGACCAATGACGATTTTCTCCTACTATGGAGAAATCTGAACCTACAGATGCAGGATCTTAATTTGACTAGTTCTCACAGCACGAAAATAATCCTGCCGTAACAGGAAATGTGAATTGTTGTGTGGATTATAATTAATGGACATTGTTGTAGGGGTTGACACATTTATAGTTAGAGCAAATCAAGTCTGACATTTAAAAGTGGAGATTACAAAACTTTGGAAGCCTTTTTAAACCTTGAATACACTACAAGTTTGGTGATCAAATTAAGATCCTACACTTGTACCATGTTTCCAAAGATTTACAGTATTATAGTGTGCATTCATAAATCTAATCAAATAACATTGTATTCGTCACATCACTCACATGCTTTGTAAACAACAGGTGTGGACTAACAGTGAAACGCTTACTTACAGGCCTTTCCTGACAATGCAGAGACAAAGAAATAGAGAAATAATAGAACAATAAAACACATAATAATAATTAAAGTAATAATAGGTACACAATGAGTAGCGATACAGTGGCTTGCGAAAGTATTCACCCCCCTTGGCATTTTTCATATTTTGTTGCCTTACAATCTGGAATTAAAATTGATTTTTGGGGGTGTGTATCATTTGATTTACACAACATGCCTATCACTTTGAAGATGCCAAATATTTTTTATTGTCAAACAAACAAGAAATAAGACAATAAAACTGACAACTTGAGCATGGATAACTATTCACCCCCCCAAAGGCAATACTTTGTAGAGCCATCTTTTGCAGCAATTCTCTTGGGGTACGTCTCTATAAGCTTGGCACATCTAGCCACTGGGATTTTTGCCCATTCTTCAAGGCAAAACTGCTCCAGCTCCTTCAAGTTGGATGGGTTCCGCTGGTGTACAGCAATCTTTGAGTCATACCACAGATTCTCAATTGGATTGAGGTCGGGGCTTTGACTAGGCCATTCCAAGACATTTAAATGTTTCCCTTTAAACCACTTGAGTGTTGCTTTAGCAGTATGCTTAGGGTCATTGTCCTGCTGGAAGGTGAACCTCCGTCCCAGTCTCAAATCTCTGGAAGACTGAAACAGGTTTCCCTCAAGAATCTCCCTGTATTTAGCGCCATCCATCATTCCTTCAATTCTGACCAGTTTCCCAGTCCCTGTCGATGAAAAACATCCCCACAGCATGATGCTGCCACCACCATGCTTCAATGTGGGGATGGTGTTCTCAGGGTGATGAGAGGTGTTGGGTTTGCGCCAGACATAGCGTTTTCCTTGATGGCCAAAAAGCTAAATTTTAGTCTCATCTGACCAGAGTACCTTCTTCCATATGTTTGGGGAGTCTCCCACATGCCTTTTGGCGAATTCCAAACGTTTTTGCTTATTTTTTCTTTAAGCAATGGCTTTTTTCTGGCCATTCTTCCGTAAAGCCCAGCTCTGTGGAGTGTACGGCTTAAAGTGGTCCTATGGACAGATACTCCAATCTCCACTGTGGAGCTTTGCAGCTCCTTCAGGGTTATCTTTGGTCTCTTTGTTGCCTCTCTGATTAATGCCCTCCTTGCCTGGTCCGTGAGTTTTGGTTGGCGGCCCTCTCTTGGCAGGTTTGTTGTGGTGCCATATTCTTTCCATTTAAAAGAAAATGGATTCAATGGTGCTCCGTAGGATGTTCAAAGTTTAGGATATTTTTTATAACCCAACCCTGATCTGTACTTCTCCACAACTTTGTCCATGACCTGTTTGGAGAGCTCCTTGGTCTTCATGGTGCCGCTTGCTTGGTGGTGCCCCTTGCTTAGTGGTGTTGCAGACTCTGGGGCCTTTCAGAACAGGTGTATATATACTTAGATCATGTGATAGATCATGTGACACTTAGATTGCACACAGGTGGACTTTATGTAACTAATTATGTGACTTCTGAAGGTAATTGGTTGCACCAGATCTTATTTATGGGCTTCATAGCAAAGGGGGTGAATACTTATGCACGCACCACTTATTCGTTATTTATTTTGTAGAATGTTTTGAAACAAGTTATTTCTTTAAATTCACTTCACCAATTTGGACTATTTTGTGTATGTCCATTACATGAAATCCAGATAAAAATCCATTTAAATTACAGGTTGTAATGCAACAAAATAGGAAAAACGCCAAGGGTATGAATACCTTTGCAAGGCACTGTAACTTGGCTATATACAAGTTATTGCAAAAAGGGTCAATGCAGATAGTTAAATAGTTAACAAAAAGCTACCTGGACTAACTATTAAGCAGTCTTGTGGCTTGGGGGTAGAAGCTGTTCAGGGTCCTGTTGGTTACAGACTTGTCGTACCGCATCGGTACCGCTTGCCATGCGGTAGCAGAGAAAACAGTCTATGACTTGGGTGGCTGGAGTCTGACAATTTGTAAGGCATTCCTCTGTCACCACCTGGTATAGAGGTCCTGGATGGTAGGAAGCTCGGCCCCAGTGATGTACTGGGTCGTACGCACTACCCTCTGTAGCACCTTGCGGTCGGATGCAGTTGCCATACCAAGCGGTGATGCAGCCAGTCAAGATGTTCTCAATGGTGCAGCTGTATAACTTTTTGAGGATCTGAGGACACATGCCAAATCTTTTCAGCCTTCTGAGGGGTAAGAGGCTTTGTCGTGCCATCTTCATGACTGTGTTGGTGTGTTTGGACCATGATAGATCCTTAGTGATGTGGACTCTGAGGAACCTGAAGCTCTCGACGTGCTCCACTACTGCCCCGCCGATGTGAATGGGGGCGTGCTCGCCCCTCCGTTTCCTTTAGTCCACGATCAGCTCCTTTGTCTTGCTGACTATGAGGGAGAGGTTGTTGTACTGGCACCACAATGCCAGGTCGCTGACCTCCTCCCTATAGGCTGTCTCATCGTCGTTAGTGATCAGGCCTGGGTGCAGTCGTGGGTGAACAGGGAGTACAGCAGGCACTGGCATACCGGACAGCCCCCGCAAGGCGGGGGGGCTCACGGGTTCTGGGGGCCAATGCGCCTGTCATCGATGTCTATTTTTTATTAATTTCATTTTGACAGTAACCCGCCAAAAAGTCATTCATAAACCTTTTTAATTTCCATAAAGTAAGTGTTTGTTTCTTGGGCTTCAGGAATGTGACTGAAAAAGTGAAAAATAAACTGATTGAAAGTATGAGGGAATATCGGTGAACAAATGCCATGGTCAAGGCTACGACGGAGCTAGTGCAATGAGTGGAGCTTACTCAGGTGTTCAAAAGCGCATATCAGACCGAGAGCCTAATGCTTCTTAGGTAGATCTTAGGGAGTTTTAGTTTAGAAAATGATCTCTCCGCAGAAGCGATTCAGGGATGGTAAAAACAGCATGATTGCCATAGCAACATCAGGGAAACTGGGCAGAAGAGAGTTGTGCTTCAAATACAGCAGTTCTGTAACATCTTTAATTGAACCTCTCATTCTCCTTAATTGCCGGCCTCAACACGTTACAGAAAGAGATTAACTGTATAGAAATCAGTTACAACAGTTCTTGAGGGCTTGAACAAAAAAAGCTGTTTGTGATTTCGTTCATACTGGTGAACCGGTGTTTGAGTTTTGTGGTTGCAATATCAACAGTCCCTTATCTCTGGTATATCTTGGCATGCATCATACAAGACTAAGTTTAAATTGTGTGCAGCGCAATGGACATATAATGCACAATGTCTCAGGAAAGTCTGGGTTGGCAATACTCAGTATAGAAAACAGTCAGGCACCTGGACCTACAGACCGTGGTGAAAACATTTCCACACACAAAAGGAGGACTTCAGGACACCAGGGGAGTCTCTCAAATCTGATTTAATTGGATTTAATTTCCCTTGAATATTGCAGCCCATTTGTGTAGGCTATCAGCCAGACAAAACCCACTGAGTTCAAAAATAAATAGTGTCTGAATTTATTCTCAAGCCAACTATCGTTTCCTCATTGTTTGGCTATTTGATGTGTCCATTTTTATAAAACGTTTATAAATAACAGCTACATATGGTATATAGCTATAGATAGTACACTGCATAATGAAACAATCCCTAGTAAGCTAGTGTTTTGAGGGTGAACTGAATGTATTATTTGGCATTAATAGACTGGTTTTACACACAACTTTCTATCCAAGCTGGGAGAGAGCGCGAGGACGGCTCATGTCATGCAGGTTCAGGTAGCCTATACAGGACAGTCGTATATTCAAAAAAAATAACTATTGGTAGCTGATTAGTATGCTGTTGCATCGAACATTTATTTTACAGTATGCAATGTTTGAATTTCCAACTTTAATTACTGAACAAGTCAGCCAGCAGTCTAAAAATGGCAGCATTGCAACACTGTGTATAGCTTCGTGAAATGTTAGGCTTAACACGAGAAAATGATGACCAAATAGGCCTACCAATAAACATTTATCCATTAGCTAAAGCAAAGCTAAGCCCTGGCACCACAGAAAGCCTATCATCGATTCGAAGCCGCATAGACATTTCAGCACCATGGACAGCGATCGGTAGTCTAAACTTCAACCTTGCGGAGGTCCAGAGAAACTGCATTATGCCAGTGACAGGAGGGGACTAAGCACCCACCCCTGAGGGGCCCCCATGTTGAGAGGTCAGCGTGGCGAATGTGTTGTTGCCTAACCTCACCACTTGGGGGCGTCCCGTCAAGAAGTCCAGGATCTAGTTGGAGAAGTTAAAGAGGGAGGTGTTCAGTCCCAGCGTCCTTAGCATAGTGATGAGCTTGGAGGGAACTATGGTGTTGAACACTGAGCTTTAGTCAATGAACAGCATTCTCACATACTGTAGGTGTTCCTTTTGTCCAAGTGGGAAAGGGCAGTGTGGAGTGCAATAGAGATTGCGTTATATGTGGATCTGTTGGGGCGTTATGCGAATTGTAGTGGGTCCAGGGTGTCTGGGATGATGGTGTTGATGTGAGTCATGAGCAGCCTTTCAAAGCATTTCATGGCTACAAATGTGTGTGCTATGGGGCGATAGTCATTTAGACAGGTTATCTCGGCGTTCTTGGGCACAGGGACTATAGTGATCTGCTTGAAACATGTAGGTATTACAGACTGGGTCAGGGAGAGGTTGAATATGTCAGTGAAGACACTTGCCAGCTGGTCAGCACATGCTCTGAGTACGTGTCCTGGTAATCCTTCATGCCCTGCGGCCTTGTGAATGTTAACCTGTTTAAAGATCTTGCTCACATCGGCTACGGAGAGCGTGATCACACAGTCATCTGGAACAGCTGGTGCGCTCACGCATGGTTCAGTGTTGCTTGCCTCGAAGCGAGCATAGAAGGCATTTAGCTCGACTGGTAGGCTCACGTCACTGAGCAGCTCGCGACTGGGTTTCCTTTTGTAATCCGCTATAGTTTTCAAGCCCTGCCACATCCGGCGAGCATCAGAGCCGGTGTAGAGGGATTCGATCTTAGTCCTGTATTGAAATTTTGTCTGTTTGATGGTTTGTCAGAGGGCGTAGCGGGATATCTTATAAGCGTCCGGGTTAGTGTCCCACTTCTTGAAAGTGGCAGCTCTAGCCTTTAGCCCCAGTGCGGATGTTGCCTGTAATCCATGGCTTCTGGTTGGGATATGTACGTATGGTCACTGTGGGGACGACGTCGTCAATGTACTTATTAATGAAGCCGGTGACTGATGTGGTAAACTCCTCAATGCCATCGGATGAGTCCCGGAACATATTCCAGGCTGTGCTAGCGAAAGTCCTGTAGAATAGCATCCGCTTTATCGGACCACTTCTGTATTGAGCGCGTCACTGATACCTCCTGTTTGAGTTTTTGCTTGTAAGCAGGAATCAGGAGGATAGAGTTATGGTCAGATTTGCCAAATGGAAGGCGAGGGAGAGCTTTGTATGGTTCTCTGTGTGTGGAGTAAAGGTGATGTAGAGTTATTTTGCCTGTAGTTGCACAGGTGACATGCTGGTAGAAATGAGGCAAAATGGATTTCAGTTTTCCTGCATTAAAATAACCGGCCACTAGGAGAGTGGGAGTACAGTGTCAGAGTTTACAGGTAGAGAGTGGGAGTACAGGGTCAGAGTTTACAGGTAGAGAGTGGGAGTACAGGGTCAGTGTTTACAGGTAGAGAGTTGGAGTACAGGGTCAGAGTTTACAGGTAAAAGTGGGAGACACACTGAGTTGAGTGATGACATACTCACAGTGAACATGATTTGGCATCCACCTAAAATATAGTCCAGGAAGGTATAGTCCCTTTCAACCTGAGGAGACAGTATTCAAAGTTAATTCTAACTCTACTCATACCCTTCCATCCATACTGTAGCAAGTTCAAATTATTTTTCCTATAGACAAATAATTGGAGAAGGCACGGAAGAGGCTCTTTGATAGGATTGAGTCATCTCCATATTCAGTAATTGGCTGCCTGAACAAAGGTGATTACTGCAGGCAGCCCCTGGTTGACTGTGTGAGACTGACAGGTGTTTTGTGCTGATGTTAATAAATGCATTTAACAGGGATTTGAGCCATTGCTCTAATCACTGCCTGCAGCAAAGCCACAATTACAGGCATTTTTGTTTGTAATAAAACAATCTATTATGAAGGAAAGTCATTATCTGTGTGCATACGGCTTTAATGTGCATTCATAATAAAATAAAATAAAGCTGTTTCCTTTTAGCCTTAATATGCTTTTTGCGGTTGCCAAAGTGGGTTGACTCAGTGGTCATTAAGAGGAATAGAGTACAGTATATATATATTAGTCTCTATGTGTTTTGGTTCACCTTGCATGACTTCAGAATGATGATTCCAGAGTTTTTGTAGCTCTTTTTCTTCTTCTGTTTCTTGGGATTAATGCATTCAAATTCGACCTGGACAAGAGGAACACAGAGTGAGAAAATACAACTGGGACCCATCTGCACACCCACGCAATTTACACTATTTCTCACATCGGCTGTATTTGCATTTCTGCAATTAGCTAATGGCACAAGGTTTTCAACAGGAAGTCAGGAGCCAAAAACTGAAGTCAAATACAGAGCAGTTTCTATACTTCTCTCTCTAGGTGCGGACAGGCTAAAAAACAAGGTCGTAAATAAACACTTGTGAATATCCAAATGAACAGGCGTCCTCCATTCAGAAATGGTGAGCTGTGTTAACTGCAGTGTCTTAAGTGAGTAATCCACTCACAGTGAGGAGTACATTGAGAGTGGAGACAATGTGAACATTGTCTTTGATCCACATCAAAGCAGACTAAAGCATGCAGAACAAACCCCCATAGATAAACTGGAGCAGCTCTCAAATCCCTCCCTCACCTCCAGTGAATTTTGGGCTTCACTCATCTTGTTGACAGTGGTCTGAAACTCTCCAATGAAGTCATGGCCTCCGTCGTTGTCGTAATCATAGCACAGTACCTGTAATACGAGACAACATACAGTAATACCACAATAAATAACTTGTTTGGCTTTTTACATACTGTTTCTAAAGGGGGATTCCGTTGCTAACATTTTCATGCCATCTCCCTCAGATGAATGCACATTTTGATAAACCTTACTCACCTTGATGCTCCTGTCCACGTCCCCGTTACAGAGGGAGATGAGTGGTACTGTGAAGGGCTTCCATACCGGGTCCAGAGTGTTCTTTATCACCTGCAGCACAAAAACAGGTACAGAGAGAAAGCTTATTCCATGTCACTTGATTTACAGAACTCAGAAGCCAATCCAGGTCTATCCAGTTACTGTTGTCAGCAGGTGGTAAGACACCTTGTTTAGTGATATAATACACTCAGTTCTGCAGTGTTGACATTTAAATAGTCTAAACAGCCACCGCCGACCAACTCACCTCTGTCCTGTGGACTAACATCCATTTCCCATCATCTCCTTGCTTGTGGAACTCTAGGTAGGGGTCTGATTTACCAAATAAATCCTACAAAACAAAACAATCTGGTTTGACAATGGCCCACATAGCTGCCAGCATACCACTATAAAAATACAAATAAACTTTTGTGAACTAACACTCGCACTTTACTTTTTTCCCCCTTACTATCTCTGACTTTGCTGATAGCTACTTTGAGGAAAAATATACTTACTATGATTGTGATAAATAACTTACTATGACTCTGCTAAATAACTCAAATGTAAAATGTAAATAGACAAAATCTTATTGTTGTTCCAAATATTAAGTAAGAACTTAACAGGGATTATAATATACTAGCATTGACTCTTACCTTCTTGTCAAGCTTTCTCCCACACAATGTCAGTGTGATTATTCTATTGTCTGACAGTTCCAGCGCAGTTATCTGCACACAAGACAAACTGTTACTGGGTTGTACTATGTAACACTGCACCATGTAACAGAACAGTGTGTGTGTGTGTGCGAACATGTCTTGGGTTCTTGGATTTCTTTGTGGGAATGAGGTATATAAGCATGATGTTCTCACTGTGATGGTTCCCTTCCCAGCTGGCTTGCTATTGGCCAAGGTCAGTGGTCGGTGAAGTTTCTTATTGGACACAATCTAAAGGTCACAGACCAGAGAGAGAAATGAGTGAGGGGTGAAATGCCCAACTGCAGATAAACATAAACAGGTGCTAAACAGGTGCAGAAAGGGGTCACAGACAGATTCTAAGAACAATGTGACAGGTAGCATACCACCCCCAGTGTACAGATGTACTCTCCTAGGAAGTCATGCTCATACAGCTGGCTGCTGCACTTGTCCTCATCAAACAAGGCAAACTTGAGCTTCTGGATCTCCTCAAAATGGTAGTCCACCTTAAACTTCACCCCAAACACTGGATTCAGGTTATTCACCGCAGTCTCTGTTCGACCGATCTGAAAATAATACACAGGAATACAGTATGTTTTTCTCAAACAAGTACTGTACTCACACACAAACACGCAACCACCACGCACACACAGCGGAGGTGGAGGGTGGACATGTGGGGGTGTGTAAGGTTGATAAGGTCTTGTTCATGTGAAAGATAAATCCAGGTGGTGGTGACTAACACAGTGTATGTCTGACTCACACTGATAGAAGATGTACACATACTCATCACCCCCTTGTGTTCTCCCATCTCTGAGGCTAGAGTGGAGCAGACTGTATATGTTTCTTCGCTGCTCTGTCTGTTTGACTGGAACTCCTAGTCTCTGTGTCTCTCCTTCTGATTGTTACCCCCCTCCCTTTTCTGTGTTATCACACTTCCCTCTTTACCCCCAGAGAACAGATGGCTCCTCCACCCAGAGTGAACCCTTCTCTCACGCCTAGATGGACAGGGAGGAAAACCCTTCACTTTAAAAACCCTTCACTTCTCTATGCCTGCTCTTCTGTGTGTTTTTTGGCTGTGTGTGTATAGTTGTGTGCTTCATATGCTGTAGCTTTCATCATGATCCAAAGAGAAACCATTGTGAGGATTACTATTATGCTCAGTGAATATAAAGAGAGGGCATTTTACACCTCTGGAATAGCACACAGCCTCCGAGGTACTTTTTACACATAGGCTACCCGTTTTCAAAACCCACTGTGTATATTCCATGTCCCTTCCCCTGTTTGCCTGTAAGTTCCATTCCTCATTTCTCTTTCCACGCATCAAGAACATCATGATTCCTTTGTTTCCATTCACGTTTCCATGGTTACTGCAGCAACTGCTATGCTGGTTTCATGTTGGAGCCTGCCCTGTTGACCGACAGCTCAGGCCTGCAGGAACACACTCAGCCTGCTTCAACACAACACTACCCAGGCAGGCAGGCAGGCAGGCATGTTTTTCCCTGGCACTGAGAGGGTACCCGGAGCACACACAAAGTCATAAGCCCTGCCTATTTTTTTTACAATTGATCTTCTTATAATGTGATTTTAAAGCTAACCCTGACCTTAACCTTAACCACACTGCTAACATGCCTAATCCTAACCTTAAATTAAGAATATTTACAATATAGCCAATTTTGACTTTGTACCTGTGTTATCTAGTGGAAACCCACTCTTCAAGGCACCACGGCTTTAAAGACAGCTCTGGATTAATGTTTCGCCATAGTATATTGATATTCCACCATTTCCCTGGTTTATACAGAACACTCAGTGTTATTGCGAACTTGACTAGTATCAATTGATAAAGCATTGAGAGCATGCAACGTGAGAGGGAATTTCTTTGTAATGTTTATTTCACCCTCTCAAGTGGTTTGCTTTTGATGTTTAACTCTCTCTCTCTTTTAGCATCTCTCAGTATCATCTTTGGTCCAACTTTCATCGTAACCACAAATTCTTCCTCTTTTTGCCGTTTATACTACCCCTCCAGTCAGTCACCCATTCCTTCCACTTTTCCAGCAACCATTTCCCTCATCTTGCCATTAATCATTATACCTTCACCCTTTTCCACCCATGTCCACCCCCTCCCCTCCTCACCTCAACCCAGTTGCTGTCCACCTCATTGAATAGCACACAGAAGGGGTCGGACTTGGAGGTCACATCTCTGTCCAGCAGGTTGCCGCAGCACACAGACAGCTCCACCCTGGTGACGCAGTGCTGGGGACCCATGGTTGGCCCAGAGTCGGGCCCCGTGCCTAGCGTGTAGGCCATGCCGGCAGGGGTGTCAGCCTTCCCACAGCCTGGGAACATACACAGAACAGAGAAACAGCACTATGATTGACATTACTGTAGCATTGAGCGTTCTGTAGAGACTCATAGGTTCAACATAAGGTAGAGAGATTCACAAAAACATGTGGATGCTTAATGCAGGGCGGTTATGACAGAACATTTGAGACCTATCATACATTATCATATTCCATATTCAATAGAACATAAAAATGTTATTTTATCCATGTGCAGTATCCAGAGAGTTGTCTGAATCAATTCAGCTGCAGGAAAAACAAAGGTCAGGGCCACACAAAGAATAATTTATCTAGGACGGGGGTCCGTCATGTGTCATATGAGAGAATAACTAATGAGCGCTGTACTCTGTCAAACATTCATACACAGGTAACGTAATTTGTAAGGACATGACGAGTATGGTGAGAGCTCTTGTTGCTAAGATACTGATGTGCCATTGTGGAAGACCCTCCTTCCACTGCTGGTGGAACCAGGAAATTGGTTATATTCCCTACAGATCACAGATGTGCAACTGCATATGTTTTACCAATTTAAGTAACGAATTGTAAGGTTATAATAAACCCACTGAATATACGAATAAAACCAAAATGATTATATACCTACATTGTCATTTTCTGATATGGTTAATGGACTTTTTTTTATGTCAGCACCGTAGATGAGGCTCTCTATGAAGCTCTTTCCATCTAATGGTATTTCCATTACCAATAACTAGCTTCAACCAAAACAAAAGACAAAAGTGTACAATGGGAGCATACAGAAGTGTCCCGTAACATAAACACACACATCACACACTGCCAACCAAATCATAATCAATCTTCATGGATCTATGTATTCGCAAGCAAGTGCGCAAAAGTAAAGTATCATATTCTCAATCGCTTGTATAATGTAAACAGTTAAATGTTGTTTTGGTATCCGTAAAGATATTATACAGAAGACATCAGCATAGTCTTGCTCACATACCTAAAGTAAAAAGGGGGATAACTCACCCAATATCCCCAAACAGCCCCTCAGGATCAGTCCATCCAACATTACAGTCACTGGAGTGACTAAAACACTCTTCACACCTAAGGCAAAGCTTTGGCCATATATACCCTCACCGTAAGGGCCATTTTTAGCATAATAACCACATTATATTTGTTCACTTCTGAAGGCTGATGATGTAATGGAAAACTTGTATTGTTACCAAATCAACAGCATAATCATCCTTATCCTTATACAAACAGAGAGATCGACAATCCAAACACACACACACACACAGACACACACACACCAACAACCCCTTTTGCTCAAACTGGAAACTGTGCCTCACTCACCCTAATAGCACAGTAAACACAACGTACATGGTCATTTACTCTAACACTCTAATTACCTGTCTGCCCTGGTGTATGCTGAGAAGTGGCAGAAATTGAGCATTTGCTTTCCCAGGGTACAATAAGCATATTTGTGGGGTAGAGGGAAATGGGGGCAATACTATTCAGTGTTTCCCCTAGGAATTTTTTCAGCAGTGATGGCAAGGGTAGCGGGGTGGGGGGTGGGGGGTGGGGGGTGCATTGCTACTAGCATTAGCTGTTCCCATAGACTTCCAGTCATTGAGCCAAAGACTATCCATTTAAAAGTGCATCTCGCTTTTAAATGGATGCTGCTAAATGAATATAGGGGAAACACTGCTATTGGATATAACTAAGTGGCTACAGAGGAGAGGCAGACACTGCGAGTTTAAGGAAGCCTAGAACTGTCAGTGATTGGAATGTAAAAAAACAATGCCACATACTGTATGCGTATAGAAGTTCAAATAAAATCTTTGATACTTTACCCTATTAGTTACAATTATTTCCATGTCCGTCACTGAATACGCAATTATATAATCACATACTGAAAACTGAATTAAATACAGTAGGCAACCTAAAAGACTCAGCAACACCTGACTATCTGTGACTTACAGATCCAGGTCACCACCCTCAGTGTCATGTTGTTTTCCTGTCTGTGTTCAGTGTGGCAGAGGAAGTGGCCTCCCCACAGATCAATACAGGGCTGGTTGTCTGCAAACCTAAAGACCCCCTCAGGTGCCCCTTGAGCAAACTTTTTTCAGAACATTCATTCAGATGGAAAAAATATGAAATCGTCTCTTGTGCCAGTAATAATGCTACATCTTCAAACGGTCCGTGCTAAATCAACACATAAACTGTGAGAAATATGCATAGATTACTACTATCTAGATTACTAAATTGATTATCAATCAAGACCATTGTCAACCCATGCTGAAAATTGCATTTGCATCTTCACTAATCTCAGTGCTTAAGGACCAGGCTGACTGCATCATCTCCACTACTGTGAGAGAGGAAATGTCACTGGAGAATACTTATGACGGTGGGAGAGAATGGAACAGAGTTTCTCCACCTTTGAAAGTGGCGTACAATGGAAACTATATAGATTTCAGAATATATTTCAACAACCAAAAAATCCAGAGCGAGATGGAGCAATGCAGAGAGAGCGAGAGACCAATAGAGATAGGCTATGTCCCCATTTTAATAGACAGACAAAAGTGAACCAGAGATGCAAAGACGAGTCTGAGAAGACTGTGACATTTATGCTTTAGAGCTAGTGACAACTGTCTCTGTTTACTATTGTGCTTGACAGCTTGAGCTTTGTGAGGGTTTTCTGTAGGGCTGTATGTGACACACACATGATGTCTACAATAACCTCTGACATATCATGTGTGCAACCCTAAATATTTCCATCAGTTTACAATTTCAGAAGCAGTACACTAAGCATTACAATCTATCAATATCCCAAATGCACTGACAATATTTCAATTAGCAGCACACCTTTGAACACCTTGCATTTTTATTTCAGTCATGAATTTACTTAATATACATATTTCCAGACATAATATCCATACCTTTAATAGCATATGATAAAAATACACTGCCCAAGTGCCCCAATATTCACTTACCTTGGTAAATGTGATTTAAGTACTACTCTACCCGCTTCTCTTCTCTGAAGAGTCCTTATTTCTTGATACCTCAAACACTTTTCTTTCTATGCACAAATTGACGTTATTTTCATGATGTCCAAAAATATAATCAGGGGAAAACAAATTGTTGTGGTTCGCCACGAGGGCAGGTCATTCTGCGCGGTGACAGTCTCTAGCCGAGTGGTGTAGAGGAGCGATACTAGTAGTCGCGCATTGCTCTGAGAACTCCGCCTGAATCACACGCGCTCTATTCTGTTGATAATTGCCTTCAGCAAAATGAAAATATAAATGCTCTGATTTGGTAATACATAGACTAGGCTACATATTTTCTTAACATATAAGCTTTTCGCGTAATCAGCAATCACTCAGAGGGCCAACTTTTGTACAGCCCAATGCCAATGTGTTTGACAGAGAAGTAGAGTATATTATATTACATTACATAGTTGAAGGTCATTCAACTTTTTGTTGGTGTGGGGGAGAATATACCCCAGTGTTTGATTGAATCTGGTGCACTGCTGTCTCATTTGCCAAAACATTCTGTCAGTCTCAATTTACCAGGGACAATATAGTCAACAGCTCATCATTTACATCGGTGACTATTGGTTACTTTGTCAAATAAAGAAGACAAAAAAATAATACATTGTGTAAACCTTTAAAATGGAGATGACTGGAGGTTATTTTTCCTTGATTCAGAACAGAACCTTCTATTGTGAAATTGTATTGCCATCTAGAGGTAAGTTCAGATAAAGAAAATCACTATTTACATAGCATAGAATCTGAAAAAGAAGACTTGTCTCGCACTTTATTAGACCTCAGTGCATGTCATAATAAAACATCCAAATATGTAGACGTACAGAGAGCGATGGAGCACCTGAAGCATAAACTTGAGTTATCAAGTTGCGATGAAAAAAGCACTTGGCATCACCAACCATTTTTGTCAGATGTGAAAAATAAATAATTCTGCAAAACACAAACGATCAATAAATCCCCGATTCAAAATCAATACAGAAATAAATATGAGAGTGGATAGAGACCACACACGGGCCTTTCCAGGAAGAGGAAGATAGAGAGAGATAGAGACCAGTTACCAGGGTTGGAATAAAGGCTCACTCCTCCTGGATCATTTTATTGTTTGTTTGGATTTGATGACCTGCTGTATTTTTAAGGAAATGTGGTCTCTAATGGCATGTAAACAAAATAAAGCTTAAGTGCATAAACTATCATCAAAATAAAAGTGCAAGTTGACTGTTCTGCTGCCACACTGAATGAGTAGATCATAGACTATGTGGAGAAGAAGTTGAGCCTCTTCTCCCTCTGTCTCAGTCTCTGGGCATCACTGGTAGAGATACTATTCCTCCACAGTCTGGTCAAACAGGGAGAGGAAATAAGTATTACTGGCATTGTACACAACAAAGATAGTACCCAATTTCTGGTTGATAGTCAGCATAAGTACATTAATACGATTGACAGAATTCAACTAAACATTTTCAAGCTACATTTCCAAGCCAGCTCTGGTCTCTTGGTCGTCCCACCCCTAAGGGAGGTCAGCTCCCGCTCATTCCAGTCAAATCTCTTCTCTGTCCTGGCTGGCACCCCAATGGTGGAACCAGTTTCTCTTCCAAAAACGTCTGAAACCCTACCTCTTCATGTAGTATCTTAAATAAGACCCCCCCCCCCCAAAAAAAAAAAGGTTTCTTGCACTTATCTTTTCCTACTAGGACTGACTTTGCTGATAACTTCTTTATTGAGGAAAAATGCAATTACTACGACATGTGGTTGTCTCACCTAGCCATCTTAAGATGAATGCACTAACTAACTCTAAGTTGCTCTGGATAACAGTGTCTGCTATATGAATAAAATTTAAATGTACCTGATCACTTCAAGCGACGGACAAGACTGTAAGCTTCTGGCAAGTGCTTCTGCTCCAGTAGCGCTGATACTGTTCGACTCAAGACTAAAATCAAAGATATAAAAACAATGATCTGATTATCAGGTCTATTTACGACAAGTCAATGTGCATAACTGTAAACTCAACACTCACTCAAGTCTCCTTAGCTTCTGGCATTGTGGTAAAACTTCGGAAAGCTTCACTGCGACATCATCTCCACAATCATTCCACGCAAAACTGACACAATTAACAGGGAGTGAAAAAGAGAGTAAGGGAACATGGTAACATTGGTCATGAACATGAGAACCAGAAGAATAAAGCTCTTTGCTGCCTGTATAAGTTCCTCCTGACACTGAGGCCCTTACCTGACATCCTCTGCACAGACACAGGAAGCCAAGCTGGCAGCTAGACCAGTCAGCTCTGAAGTCCCTATGGAGGTCAAGCTGAAAGACAACAAGTACATTAACAGCTTACCTCTCCTCTGCATTCCCCAAGATTGAGCAGAGTATACACAGTCTGTATGTGGCAGATTACATAGGGTATATCTTACTGTATCTTTGTCAAATGTTTCATGAAGATCAGCGCATTGGAGATACTGACAGATCCTTCTCTACCAATCGGGTTCTCTGAGAGACTTTTCACAAAAACACAACCGTGAACATAAACAAGGGTTAGGGCTGCAGTTACATTGCAATATATGCATATAATCAATAAATAAACGTAACATGATCCAAGCCAAACAAAAGAACAGATGGAAATATACTTACTCTAGAACCCTGAGGTGAGTGAGAGTGGGCAGAACTTGTCCCATCTTGGCAGCACAGGCTAGGCTGAGTTTATTTCTGGACAGACTGAGATATAACGTAATGGGTCAGGCGGTGCATTGTTTGCAGTCAAAATTCTAACCTTTTATTTTTGTCCATTTTGAAAGCCCATTAGAAATAGGGCAGTATGGATAGATATTTAGAACTTGGCCTTACTGGAGTACCTCCAGTTCTGTGCAGTTAGCCAGGGCCTGGACCAGCCTCTCTCCTGCTTGGTCACCGATACAGTTCTCTGACAGGCTGACACACAAAGACAAAGAGGTTGAATGACATCCCAGTCTGTGTTTTTTATACAGAGATATGGGTGAACACTCTCCTCTTCTAATGATTGAGAGAGAAACAGGTACACTTCATATCATAGATCATAATACCAGTATGTTTCCTCAGTATGTTTCCTCTGAACCAGTTCAGAAAGTAGAATAGGCTAAACTTTGTGAGGACAATATAATAAAGGTGTGTCTTTACAACCAATCAGCACTTTGAACCAGCTCTATACCTCTTTCATGATGACACTTTTAAAATGTCTGCCTAAATCCTACACACACCAAAGTTGTACCCATGAAGCCCATTTGAATATCAGCTGGTCCTTTGACAGGTTCTAAGATTGGATAATTTGACAGATTGATGATGCATGTCTTAGCTTAATTTGACACATTAATTATGTAAGCTATTTTTTGTCCAGGTCTGTTCCCCAGCCATTCCTCCAGTTCAATAATCCCTGGACCCTACCTGATCTTCCTCAGGCCTGTCCAGGTGGGCAGGTGTTTGATAAGCTCCTCTACTCCTTTATCTGACATCCTCATCCCCTCCAACCTGCAGGCCAGACACACATTGACAATACCACATCAGAAGTGATGTCTAGTCCATGCAGAAGTCAGATACTACTTGACATCATTATTCTACTCACTCTATCTCCTCCATCCCTCTGAGCCCCTCCAGAGAGGCCAGTAGGACCAGTGTGGCCCCCTCCCCTGGGGATCCAGTCACCATGGTAACTTTCTTATTCAGACTACGGACAGATCACAAATCATTGGTAAAGATAACGCTCTACACCACATTTGTCTCAGGCATGGCAAAGCCCACTACGTTCTTCTTCAGGAAGCACTACTCACTTTAGCCTCTTCAAGGAGGTCATAGCATGGAGCCCCTGTGCCAAGGAGACTGTGCTCTCTTCATCCAGCTGTGCAAAGTCAAGGCTGTGGACAGGATACAGATATTAGCTCATACCCTTACCCCAGGACACACAGTATATCATAGGAATAGCTAAATGATACTCTCCAACGCTGTCTGTCAGTCATGGTGGTCATGTGGCGCTGCAGTGGGAGGTCAGTGTTGGTGTTTTTTTTACCTGATCCCCTCCAGAGAGAGACACTGTCCAAGCCCTCTGACCAGGTCCAATGCTCCTGCCGCTGTCCAACCAGAGCACTGGGATAGACTGGGGGACAGAGGGATCAGCATTAGTATTGTTGTGTCACTGGCCAGGGGGTTGAATACAGGTGTAGAGAAAAAAAGCGTGTCAGTTATTACTTAATTGTTCTGATATTTGGTAGGTTCTGGAGTGTTCTGGTCAGAACTACAGCTCCTCTGTCACTGATTACATGACCAGAAAAACTAAGGGAGACAGAAGAGAGTGGTGAAAGGTCAGAGTCAGGGCCAGAAACAAAACATAACAAGTAGGCATGGGAGAGAATTGACAATGACTTACTTCAAGCTCTCAATGCTTTTAGCCTGCAACAACCCCTCGGCAAGGAGCAATACCAGATCTTCAGATGTTTCTTTTGACTCAAGACTACGGGAAAACAGAAACATGTTTATATTTTTCATGTGCAGCCTAAGATATTCATCCTTGGCCAACAAAACCCACATAAAGCCCTTCCAACCCCCAAATCCATAAAAACATAAGCCTCACCTGAGTTTCCTCAGACTAACTAAGGATGGTAGGACAGAGCAGAGAAACTCTGCTCCCACTCTACCAACGCTGTTGTGTGACAAACTAAAGAGGAAAATAATAAATAGGTATAACTTAACTAAATTAAATTAGACATTACAAACACTTTAACTACTTCCAAAGTAGTCCTTGGTCCCTTCTTGCAGATACTTACTCTAGGTCCTGCAGCAGAGTGCATCTCTGGAGCACAGTCTGCAGAGACACTAGGTGGTTCCCTTGTACTGCACAGTCTACCAGGCTGAAACACGCAAGAGACAGGAACATATAACAGGGAGAGCTCACATGCAGTAACCAATTCTGAGCCATCTTACACACATTCCCGTTGATGTAGGAATAACAGAGGAAGCTGCTTTCACCTGATGGTCACAGTAGACAGAGAGCTAGCCATGTCCACAGAGTCACCACTGAAACACAAATAAAGCCAGCTCAGTTAAAACGGAAAGAGCTGTTATCTTTATCTTCACATCTACAAATATTTTGCAAATAGACAACGTAAATGTCTTTCAGCTTTACCTGGTAGGAGTGTGATTTGTGAATTCTTCCAAAGTAATTTGTACAATGGTTTGGTTTACCCTGCAAAATAAGTTCATACATACATTATGAATGTCATGTTCTATTTTCCTATACTTCTAAATATTACCCCAATGCCAACATGAATTCTCACCTGATGGTGTGTATGTTGGGGTTCAGGTTCAAGCAGCAGGAGACCAGGTTTACAGCTGCTTCTGCTGTGATCCATGTCTCCTCAATACTGATGGGAAACACACACAGCCTGTTAACCTGAATCATACACACTCACACAAGAGAGCCGATACACAAATACACAGACACCACATGCTATTCCCATATCCTCCTCCTCACCTGATATAGCGTTGGACATGACCACACCTCAGCTGCTTCACCAAGCCTTCAATCACCTGAACATTCAGTCCGTTGTTTCTTATACTGAAGGGAAAAAAGTCAGTCATTTCACATCCAATAACTTGCAGAGTCATTCACCAGTGTGTGGTGTGTGTGTGTGTGTGTGTGTGTGTGTGTGTGTGTGTGTGTGTGTGTGTGCGCGCTTGCGCTTGCGCGCGTGCGTGTGGGCTCACTCCAGTGTGTGTAATGAGGACAGGGTAGTCAGGCTGTTCTGTAGAGCCAGGAGGCCTTCTCTCTGCATGGTGTTACAGGATAACCTACATACACAAGAGAAAACACTGTTCCCCAGAACCATACAGGAATAACATATTGAACAAAAATATAAAATCAACATGTAAAGTGTTGGTCCCATGTTTCATGAGCTGAAATAAAAGATCCCAGAAATGTTCCATACACACAAAAAGCTTATTTCTCTCAAATTTTACATCACTGTTAGTGACCATTTCTCCTTTGCCAAGATAATCCATCCACCTGACAGGTGTGGCATATCAAGAAGCTGATTAAACAGCATGATCATTACACAGGTGCACCTTGTACTGGGGACAGTAAAAAGTAACTCTAAAATGTGCAGTTTTGTCACACAATGCCACAGATGTCTGAAGTTTTGAGGGAGCATGCAATTGACATGCTGACTGCAGGAATGTCCACCAGAGCTGTTGCCAGAGAATGTCATGTTCATTTCTCTACCATAAGCTGCTTCCAATGTCGTTTTAGAGAATTTGGCAGTATGTCCAACCGGCCTCACAACCGCAGACCACGTGTAACCACGGCAGCCCAGGACCTCCACATCCGTCTTCTTCACCTGCGGGATTGTTTTAGGGGAGGGGGGGCTGAATAATATTTATGTCTCTAATAAAGCCCTTTTGTAGGGAAAAACTCATTCTGATTGACTTGGGTGATTGCCTATGCCCTCCCAGGCCCACCAATGGCTACACCCTTGCCCAGTCATGTGAAATCCATAGATTAGGGCCTAATTAATTTATTTCAATTGACTGATTTCCTTATATGAACTGTAACTCAGTAAAATCGTTGAAATTGTTGCATGTTGCGTTTATATTTTTGTTCAGTATATTATCATCCTTCTACTGCCATCATGCTGTACTTCTGTGATTCTTTCAAATTCAGTGGTGTTTTTTTAACTTTTTCAAATTTGATGAGTTTCAGGTTCATTATCTCAAAGGTCAAGCAGTTCTCCCAGTTCCATTCTCACCTCAGTTTGACCAACTGAGCAGCACAGCTCTTCAGAATCTCTGCTAGTCTCTGCAGATGGTCAGCCCCAAAATGACACTCTCTCAGACTGCAGGGTCCAGGGAACATGAAGCAGAAAAAGAAGGTGAGAGACTGAAGAGATGGATTTCATGTCTATGAGTCATATGGGAGAGGTTGGATATAATTTATACTGGCAATCCTTTCAGTTTTTATATGTTATTTTTCTGAGAACAAATAAACTATGCTTCCTGTTTGCCTAGCTAAATTAGTTTACAGTATGGTGTTTGTGTTGCCACTTCAATTGCATTTATAAGTAGAAAGTAGCCTTTTTGTTGTCTTACCTCAGAGTTTTGCCACAGTCACTGTCCTGTTCAAAGCGGATGAGCGACCTCTCCTCAGTTCCCAAACTACAGACAGACATTAAACAATACACAGACTTACAGTACTAACTACAGTGGGGAGAACAAGTATTTGATACACTGCTGATTTTGCAGGTTTTCCTACTTACAAAGCATGTAGAGGTCTGTAATTATTATCATAGGTACACTTCAACTGTGAGAGACGGAATCTAAAACAAAAATCCAGAAAATCACATTGTATGATTTTTAAGTAATTAATTTGCATTTTATTGCATGACATAAGTATTTGATCACCTACCAACCAGTATGAATTCCGGCTCTCACATACCTGTTAGTTTTTCTTTAAGAAGCCCTCCTGTTCTCCACTCATTACCTGTATTAACTGCACCTGTTTGAACTTGTTACCTGTATAAAAGACACCTGTCCACACACTCAATCAAACAGACTCCAACCTCTCCACAATGGCCAAGACCAGAGAGCTGTGTAAGTACATCAGGGATAAAATTGTAGACCTGCACAAGGCTGGGATGGGCTACAGGACAATAGGCAAGCAGCTTGGTGAGAAGGCAACAACTGTTGGCGCAATTATTAGAAAATGGAAGAAGTTCAAGATGACGGTCAATCACCCTCGATCTGGGGCTCCATGCAAGATCTCACCTCATGGGGCATCAATGATCATGAGGAAGGTGAGGGATCAGCCCAGAACTACACGGCAGGACCTGGTCAATGACCTGAAGAGAGCTGGGACCACAGTCTCAAAGAAAACCATTAGTATCACACTACGCCGTCATGGATTAAAATCCTGCAGCGCACGCAAGGCCCCCCTGCTCAAGCCAGAGCATATCCAGGCCCGTCTGAAGTTTGCCAATGACCATCTGGATGATCCAGAGGAGGAATGGGAGAAGGTCATGTGGTCTGATGAGACAAAAATTTAGCTTTTTGGTCTAAACTCCACTCGCCGTGTTTGGAGGAAGAAGAAGGATGAGTACAACCCCAAGAACACCATCCCAACCGTGAAGCATGGAGGTGGAAACATCATTCTTTGGGGATGCTTTTCTGCAAAGGGGACAGGACGACTGCACCGCATTGAGGAGAGGATGGATGGGGCCATGTATCGCGAGATCTTGGCCAACAACCTCCTTCCCTCAGTAAGAGCATTGAAGATGGGTCGTGGCTGGGTCTTCCAGCATGACAACGACCCGAAACACACAGCCAGGGCAACTAAGGAGTGGCTCCGTAAGAAGCATCTCAAGGTCCTGGAGTGGCATAGCCAGTCTCCAGACCTGAACCCAATAGAAAATCTTTGGAGGGAGCTGAAAGTCCGTATTGCCCAGCGACAGCCCCGAAACCTGAAGGATCTGGAGAAGGTCTGTATGGAGGAATGGGCCAAAATCCCTGCTGCAGTGTGTGCAAACCTGGTCAAGACCTACAGGAAACGTATGATCTCTGTAATTGCAAACAAAGGTTTCTGTACCAAATATTAAGTTCTGCTTTTCTGATGTATCAAATACTTATGTCATGCAATAAAATGCAAATTAATTACTTAAAAATCATACAATGTGATTTTCTGGATTAAAAATCATACACATTTTTTTCTTCTGGATTTTAGATTCCGTCTCTCACAGTTGAAGTGTACCTATGATAAAAATTACAGACCTCTACATGCTTGGTAAGTATGAAAACCTGCAAAATCGGCAGTGTATCAAATACTTGTTCTCCCCACTGTATATGGCAGGGGTCCCCAGTTACATTCAGCTGTGGGACGATTTTTCCTTGAGCGGATGGTTGTGGGGCCGGAACATAGTTCTAAATAATTTGTACAAATTGACCGCAAGAATCCCAAACAGATATAGTATTTCACAAAAATGGAATCATTTCAAACCTTGATTACATTGGGATACAATCACATATGCCTCTCTATTTAAGCGTGGGAATAATTTGGAACAAATTTCAAAAATTGAATTCACTTTGAGCTGATTTCCTGGTGATTTTACAGTATTTTATGTCCAACCGCAAAAAAATTTGTAAAATAAAATTTGCTCAGCAAATTTCAGACAAATAAAATCACCCGTGGGCCGAATTTGGCCCGTGGACCGCCTATTGGGGAACCCTGCTATATGGGGGTCTAGACAAGTAAATGTTAACTTTGCCAACATGGTATTGTTCAACAGATTTTACCTGACTTCCACTTCAACCACCTTTTCACAGGTTGTCACTGTGTTCAGAAGGTAGAGCGCCCCCATCTGAGTGAGTCTGTTATCACCGAGACTGCAGATAAAAACAGAACACAGCTGTACAAGCAAGCACAACTAACCCCCACAAAGATAGAACAGATGCATCTGCTACCACTGATAAAACAGGATTATCAGAGGAGGTAAATTGACAGACGTTTATCTTGATGAAACAGAACAGCACTAGCCGTAATGGAGTTCACTGTATGGGCTGAAGGAAGATAGGCCATTGTAATGAGTCTTACTTCACTGAGCTGGCAATCCGCAGCCTTGGCAGAGAATCCACAAAGCTCTTCACTCCCTCGTCTCTCAGAAGGTTACTGGATAAACTGCATCGTTTAAAAGAAAGGGTTATTATCCATGATGAGAAAAGTTGGTAGAAAATGTGTTGAAAAACAGCCAAGATACTGTAACCCTAATTTTCAGCGAGGGAAAACACAGTTTGACCATTGAGCAAGGCATACAGTGGGGAAAAAAAGTATTTAGTCAGCCACCAATTGTGCAAGTTCTCCCACTTAAAAAGATGAGAGAGGCCTGTAATTTTCATCATAGGTACACATCAACTATGACAGACAAAATGAGAAAAGAAATTCCAGAAAATCACATTGTAGGATTTTTAATGCATTTATTTGCAAATTATGGTGGAAAATAAGTATTTGGTCAATAACAAAAAAGTTTCTCAATACTTTGTTATATACCCTTTGTTGGCAATGACACAGGTCAAACGTTTTCTGTAAGTCTTCACAAGGTTTTCACACACTGTTGCTGGTATTTTGGCCCATTCCTCCATGCAGATCTCCTCTAGAGCAGTGATGTTTTGGGGCTGTCGCTGGGCAACACGGATTTTCAACTCCCTCCAAAGATTTTCTATGGGGTTGAGATCTGGAGACTGGCTAGGCCACTCCAGGACCTTGAAATGCTTCTTACGAAGCCACTCCTTCGTTGCCCGGGCGGTGTGTTTGGGATCATTGTCATGCTGAAAGACCCAGCCACGTTTCATCTTCAATGCCCTTGCTGATGGAAGGAGGTTTTCACTCAAAATCTCACGATACATGGCCCCATTCATTCTTTCCTTTACACGGATCAGTCGTCCTGGTCCCTTTGCAGAAAAACAGCCCCAAAGCATGATGTTTCCACCCCCATGCTTCACAGTAGGTATGGTGTTCTTTGGATGCAACTCAGCATTCTTTGTACTCCAAACACGACGAGTTGAGTTTTTACCAAAAAGTTATATTTTGGTTTCATCTGACCATATGACATTCTCCCAATCCTCTTCTGGATCATCCAAATGCACTCTAGCAAACTTCAGACGGGCCTGGACATGTACTGGCTTAAGCAGGGGGACACAGCAGGATTTGAGTCCCTGGCGGCGTAGTGTGTTACTGATGGTAGGCTTTGTTACTTTGGTCCCAGCTCTCTGCAGGTCATTCACTAGGTCCCCCCGTGTGGTTCTGGGATTTTTGCTCACCGTTCTTGTGATCATTTTGACCCCACGGGGTGAGATCTTGCGTGGAGCCCCAGATCGAGGGAGATTATCAGTGGTGTTGTATGTCTTCCATTTCCTAATAATTGCTCCCACAGTTGATTTCTTCAAACCAAGCTGCTTACCTATTGCAGATCCAGTCTTCCCAGCCTGGTGCAGGTCTACAATTTTGTTTCTGGTGTCCTTTGACAGCTCTTTGGTCTTGGCCATAGTGGAGTTTGGAGTGTGACTGTTTGAGGTTGTGGACAGGTGTATTTTATACTGATAACAAGTTCAAACAGGTGCCATTAATACAGGAAACGAGGGGAGGACAGAGGAGCCTCTTAAAGAAGAAGTTGCAGGTCTGTGAGAGCCAGAAATCTTGCTTGTTTGTAGGTGACCAAATACTTATTTTCCACCATAATTTGCAAATAAATTCATTAAAAATCCTACAATGTGATTTTCTGGATTTTTTTTTCTCAATTTGTCTGTCATAGTTGACGTGTACCTATGATGAAAATTACAGGCATCTCTCATCTTTTTAAGTGGGAGAACTTGCACAATTGGTGGCTGACTAAATACTTTTTTTCCCCACTGTATACACTAGTAGTGTAAGGTATTTCTGTGAATACAGTGCAGTAGTTACGAGTACATCATAATTTATAAACACTGTTCTTTTTGCTAAAATGTGGACAGTGTGAAGCAGGAACAGGGATGTGTTTGAGGAGAGGGGACACAGACACTCACTCCAGGTCAGACAGACGAGGACACTTCTCCAGGATCCCAGAGAGTTTCTCCACATCCCCACTGCTCAGTGTGTACTGAGTGAGTCTGCAGAGGAGAGACAGACAGACAGACAGACAGACAGAGAGGTTAAACCAGGTTACAGAGAGGAGAGAAAGTTGTAGACCACAACTCATGTAGATCACAGAGGTTATCTACTCTGGTCTTGAAGGAACTCTACATAAGATGTGGCCGATTTAAAAAACCACTTAATTAACCTACAACTAATTTCTGTAATGTAATATAACATGCCATGTAATATAGCATTTCTATATGTGGGAACAGTATAATCAGAGAAAACACATTCACCTGCAAGTTGCTTGTTCTGCTTTCATGTTGACAAACTTGATGAAGGCTTCTCCTTGGGGCCTTAAAAGCACATCAATATTTAAGGTAATTTATGTAAACACAGTTAATATATATATAAAACCAAATGTATGAACCACATGAATGAACGATGACCTGAACATCCTGAGCCGTACATACCGGAGTTCCACAGCTCTGACACGTTGGCAGTCTATCAGAGATCTGACCAATAACAACGCTCCATCCGTAGACATCTGGACATGGCTCATACTATGGGAGGCAGGGAGGAGGCGAAGGAGAATGATGAGAAATGTATATCATTCACTTTCTAACCTTACCGGTGTTGTGACCCTGACATTATCATTACTGAGCAGGGTGACGCATACTTACTTGAGAAGCTGAAGAGATGTCATCTTAGGCAGGATCTTCAATAGATTTTCAATAGCCTCGTCCTTTAGGGATCCATGGGAGAAACTGATCACAATATCATGTTAGAAGACTGCTGAGAAAGGAACTACAACAGACAGAATATTTTCAGAGGATTGGGAAGGAGGAAAACTTGTAACCTGGTAAGAAATAAAGAGAGAAGAGAACTCTGAAAGACAGAGACAGAACACTGACAGAGATAGGGGTAACAGTAGAACTCACTCTAGCTCCAGTGGGCTGGGACACTGTACTAGTCTTCTACACAGCTTGTTCATGTCAGTGGGCTGGATACTACTGTGAGTTAGACTAAAACAAAAACATGTTTGGGATTATATTTCAGAGTTAACCCTCCCGTTGTCCTAGGGTCAAAATGACCCGCCACTGTGTTGAACCAACTTTATTTAATTTTTATATTTTTGGGATCATTTGTGAGAAGGAGGCAGTGAGACTTTAAAGAAAGTATCACTGCCTCCTTCTCACAAATGATCCAAAAAATATAAAAATTAAATAAAGTTGGTTCAACACAGTGGCGGGTCATTTTGACCCTAGGACAACGGGAGGGTTAAGTGAATGGGACATAAATTCAGTGGACAAGAAAAACTCAGAAACTATTTTTTCATGTTAAAGATGCACTATGCAGAAATCGCTCTGCCATTTCCTGGTTGCTAAAACTCTAATAGTTTGCCTAATTTCAGTTTATGTGTTAAAACAAGCAAGTATAGTGTAGAGAATCATTGTACCATCTAAACTGATGTGAAATATATTGTCCATAAACAAAAATATTGTATTTTCTGCAGTTTGAAGTTGCTGTACAAAACCGAAAGTAAAAGGCGCAAAAAACAAAACTTAAGCACGGGAAGCATAGAAATAGCGCACATAGAACTTATCTACCGCTTCTTAGACTCACTTTCAATGAGAATGATAGGTCTATTTTTTTGTGATAACATTTTTATTTCATTTCATTTATATTGACAGAGTCACATTAACCCTCTGTCCCCCCACCCTCTCCCCGCCCACATTCAGTCATGAACTTAAACAAAAAATAAAAGAGTAGGACGCTAGACTTTTTACCCTCACCCCCTCCCCCTCCCCCCTCCTCCCTCAGACAGAGCCCCGCCGACTCACACATTCAATAAGATGCAGAACAACTACAAGAGAAAAAGTGTGAAGCTCAGTAGCCCCCCCACAGGACAGTTGCACCCACCCACCTGACAGTTGCACCCACCCACAGGACCGCTACAGGTACTCAAGGTAATTCGATGTATGATTTTATCTTAACCACGCAGAACTCCAATAGTGAATGTTATGGCTTTTTGCGCGAAAGCTCTAATTGAGAATGACAGATCTATAACTCACATTATAACTACGTGAATTTGGTTGGGACGCCCAAAAAGTTACATATTGCTCTATGTCCTACCTGAGTTTCTTACACTGTTCCAATCCTGTTGATTGTATTCTGAAATGACAGAGATGCAGTGAACTGTTATTAGGACTACAACATCTTACTGAGTCACAGAATTGGTATTTCGACAGCAACATAGTCAGAAAGAGGAGCTATTATACAGTATATTGCTATTACTCTATTGCTCTATTACCTTTTACTGGAGTGGAATTTCAGGAACAGCTTCTTATTCCCCCCATGACTGATAAATATAACATGTTTATAGTTAATCATCATCACAAATGCAAACATAATACTAGACATGATTTCAAACACTTTCTACCATGCCGGTTTCAAGCATGTCTGTTCGTGTACACATTTGTTGGTTTGTATAAGACAGTAATGGGATGTGAATACCTGACATTCACTTCACTCATGTTCCTGTGTGAGCACAGCGTTCCAGCTAGCAGCATCACCCCTTCCATGCTGACTGCATTCTCACTGACACTAAAACAAAATGAGGGTATACTGAAATTCCATGGTCAGAAACAAAGATTAAAAGGGAAAAAAACAGACAAAAAAGGAAGAAAAGGTAAATACATTTGGGTTGCTATAGCAATTCTTACTTGATTTCCTGTATGTTGCTAAGCTGAGGTAAGAGGTCCAACAACTTCTTCAGACCTTTGTTTTCCAGAGCATTGTTGGAAATACTGACAAAGGGAGAGACACAAACAGATCCTTGTATATGTGCATTCCAACAATTATCCTTATTGCTATTTCACACTCCAAAGCCTCTGTCACGCCCTGGCTCTGGGGACTCTTATATGTTGAGCCAGGGTGTGGAGTTTCTATGTGTTATTTTCTATGTTGTGTTCTAGTTCGTGTTTTCTATGTTGGCCAGGGTGGTTCCCAATCAGAGGCAGCTGATTCTCGTTGTCTCTGATTGGGAACCATACTTAGGCAGCCTGTTGGCACTTTTGTATTGTGGGATCTTGATCCGTAAGGTTTGTGTTTAACCCTAGGACTTCACGTATCGTTTATTGTTTTGTTCGTGTGTGTACTCATTAAAAGAATGTACGCTTATCACGCTGCGCCTTGGTCCGCTTATTATGACGATCGTGACAGAAGATCCCACCAAAAGAGGACCAAGCAGCGTGTCCAGGAACAGACAGCCTGGACTTGGGAGGAGATCCTGGACGGGAAGGGATCCTGGACTTGGGAGGAGATTCAGGCCGGAATGGATCGCCGTCCCTGGGAGGAGACTGTGGAGGCGCGCTACAGAGAGGAGCAGCGGCAACGCAGAGGGTACCGGCCGAGGAGGAAGCCCGAGAGACAGCCCCAATATTTTTTTGGGGGGGGGCTAAAGGGGTGGTTGGCGGAGCCTAGAGGTAGAGCAGAGCCAACTCCCCGTACTCAGGCTAGGGAGCGTGAGACTGGGCAGGCTCCGTGTTATGCGGAGCCACGTACTGTGCCGCGAGTGTTCCGGCACAGTCCTGTACGTCCTGTGCTAGCACCACGCACGTGTTGTGCTAAGGTGGGCATGCAGCCAGGACGGAGTGTGCCGGCTCAACGCTCGTGGCCTCCAGTACCCCTCCTCGGTCCCGGATATCCTGCGCCAGTGCCACGTGCTGTAGCGCCAGTACGAGTGCACAGCCCTGTATGTCCTGTGCTGATGCCTCACACATATTGTGTGGAGATAGGCATTCAGCCAGGACGGGTTGTGTCAGCTCTCCGCTCCAGACCTCCAGTCCGCCTCCACAGTCCGGCCCGGCCCGTTCTGTCTCCCCGCACCAAGCCAATGGTGCGTGTTCCCAGTCCAGCCCGGCCCGTTCCTGCTCCCCGCACCAAGCCAGTGGTGCGCGTCGACAGTCCGGCCCGGCCTGTTCCTTCTCCCCGCACCAAGCCTGTGGTGCGTGTTCCCAGTCCAGCCCGGCCTGTTCCTGTCCCTCGCACCAAGCCAGTGGTGCGCGTCGCCAGCCCGATCCGGCCTGTTCCTGCTCCCCGCACCAAGCCAGTGGTGCGCGTCGCCAGCCCGGTCCGGCCTGTTCCTGCTCCCCGCACCAAGCCAGTGGTGCGCGTCGTCAGCTCGGTCAGGCCTGTTCCTACTCCCCGCACCAAGCCAGTGGTGCGCGTCGCCAGCCCGGTCCGGCCTCTGCCTGCTCCCCGCACCAAGCCAGTGGTGCGCGTCGCCAGCCCGGTCCGGCCTGTTCTGCTCCCCGCACCAAGCCAGTGGTGCGCGTCGTCAGCCCGGTCCGGCCCGTTCCTGCTCCCCGCACCAAGCCAGTGGTGTGCGTCGTCAGCCCGTTCCGGCCCGTTCCTGCTCCCCGCACCAAGCCAGTGGTGCGCGTCGTCAGCCCGGTCCGGCCTGTTCCTGCTCCCCGCACCAAGCCAGTGGTGCCTGGTCAGGCACCGGTCAGCTGCTCCACACCGGAGCCTGAGCAATCCGCTCCACCGGTGTCCAGTCCAGCTCCGGCCAGCGGGGCCAGACCAGACCAGGGGCGCTACGGGGGGGTAGCGAGAGAGTGGTGGTCACGCCCGGAGCCGGATCCGCCTCCGAGGTGCAATGCCCACCCGGCCCCTCCCCTGTTGGGTTTGGTTGGCGCGGTCGCAGTCCGCTGTCCTTTGGGGGGGTACTGTCACGCCCTGGCTCTGGGGACTCTTATATGTTGAGCCAGTGTGTGAAGTTTCTATGTGTTATTTTCTATGTTGTGTTCTAGTTCGTGTTTTCTATGTTGGCCAGGGTGGTTCCCAATCAGAGGCAGCTGATTCTCGTTGTCTCTGATTGGGAACCATACTTAGGCAGCCTGTTGGCACTTTTGTATTGTGGGATCTTGATCCGTAAGGTTTGTGTTTAACCCTAGGACTTCACGTATCGTTTATTGTTTTGTTCGTGTGTGTACTCATTAAAAGAATGTACGCTTATCACGCTGCGCCTTGGTCCGCTTATTATGACGATCGTGACAGCCTCTCTCTGAGCACACTTACTCCAGCATAGTCAAAGCAGAGCAGTCTCTCAGATTCCCACACAGACGGTCCAAGTGAGGGGGACGAAGAGCACAGCCAATCAGACTGCACACAGGGACCATGGGAAAAGAGGATGAAAAGCAGAGACAATGTCATGCCACTTACAGTACAAAACCATTATCCACATCATTAGTAATATACAAGTGAAAATATTGTACATACCAAAGTCTCTTAGAAATCTTGTATTTCTCTATCCCACTAGAAAAAAGCATGGACACACGAACAGGGTCTTGCAGCCTGTCATGGGGATGCATGGGAAAAATGCATAACAGTGAGTGGTAACCCACTGGGCATTGTTGTTTCCATGTCATTTCAATGAAATTACGTTGAACCAACGTGGAATAGACATTGAATTGACGTTTGTGCCCAGTGGGAAGGCTCTGAGAGGAATTTACAAGACATTCTAAAAAAAAGTTGTATAATAGTTTGGGCCTACAGCAAACCTCTTGACAGGCGAGACACCCTCTGAATAGTGAAGCCACCAGGAAGTGATGGTGTAGTGTGGTGGTTTTAGTCTGGTTGCAGTTTACACACACAGAAAGGGTGCTGTCTATATTGGCTCTATCTAAGAAAAATAATGGGTGCTATACACAACATACCTGATGTCCACTTGAACCACATCAGGACATACAGACAGGAAACTGGTCAGAATCATCAGCCCATCAACAGATATGTGGCTGTTATTCAGACTGTCAAGACACAGACAATAACCGTATTAGGCTACATAACTAGTTTCAAACATAATATGGGACAGGCACAAGATCATGACTTTATAAAAAGTATAACACTTAAAATAAAATATCAGTCTTACACAATCTGTTTGGAGATGTACAGCTTCTGTAGAGAGTCAGTCAGGGCCTTGAGAGTATCAGCCTTCATGTGGCCTCCTGACAGACTGCAGGGGTCACAACATAGCACCAAACAGAAAGTCAGATTCTCTTGACTTATTTAGTGTCTTTACCCACAGTGTGATGTGACTTGCTCAAGAACACTGGGTACATTTTTACTTACTCTAGGACAGAGAGGCCAGGACATCTTGATAGCAATTGACACAGTCTGGTCATCTGATCAGTATTCAAACTGCAGTTTAACAGGCTGGATGACACATAAAGAGAGGGAAAAAACAACAGCAATGTTACTCCTGGTATTCAAAAGCTCAAGTGAGATCTGTACATTATAAAATATTCTTTATAAGAACAAAATAGAGAATATCATACCTGACAGTCAGCCCAACTTCTTTCTTAGAACTTGAGACAAATAGAAAGGGAGATAAAAGAGATAAGAGAGAGGCTGATTGATACAGTACAGTAGATTTCCCTCAATGTGGTATTGATAAAACAATGAAACAAAAGCAACGTTCTCTCAACAAGAACATGAAACATTAGCTTGATTTTCATGGGCCTGTTGGTACGCCAAACATAGAAAAAATTAATTAAAGATATACATTCTTTTATTTCACTTCACTAAAACGCAAAACTCACCCTTGTATGTCTGAGCTTGGGAAAAACAGGACGTTGATGTCCTTCATTTCACTGCAAAGAGAGATAAAACATAGTTTACCAGTATATACTAACCAACACTTGTTTTTTTTCTTCAGTTTTGATAAAGTATGCAAGTTTTTTCTCAGAACTGGAGTCAATTAACTGAAGGTTCTATTTGGGAACACAATAAGTCTCTAACCACTGGGCACACACTGGTTGAATCGATGTTGTTTCCACGTAATTTCAATTAAATTACGTTGAACTTTTCAAGATGGTGGGAAGCATGTCTTTTTTCTGTTTTGTTTGATCAGTGTTTGTAGCTGAAAGGTTTTTGGGGGATTTTTGTCTCCATTTACCTTTGTTTCATCTGGCTGTGAACACATTGGACAATAGTGCAATATTGCACACAGAGTTTTTAAGGAGACATACAAAACAGGTCTACTTGGATATACCTGGGCACCCTACTCTGCACTGGGGCATTATCTGAGCAGAAACCGGCCAACTGCTGCTTTCATCCTTCCACTTGACATTGTGCCTTCCACTTGACATTGTGCCTTGGATATTTTTGGACTACTGCCAAACTTGAACTCCACTTGGATTTACTATTTTTGACTCTCCCATGTCCCGGTGTAGCACTTGTCGCCCTCCTGGCATTCCACTGACCTTTACTGGAAACTACACTACCGGTCAAAAGTTTTAGAACACCTACTCATTCAAGGGTTTTTCTTTATTTTTACTATTTTATACATTGTAGAATAATAGTGAAGACATCAAAACTATGAAAGAACACATATGGAATCATGTAGTAACCAAAAAAGTGTTAACCAAATCAAAATATATTTTATATTTGAGATTCTGGAAATAGCCACCCTTTGCCTTGATGACAGCTTTGCACACTCTTGGCATTCTCTCAACCAGCTTCACCTGGAATGCTTTTCCAATAATCTTGAAGGAGTTCCCACACATGCTGAGCACTTGTTGGCTGCTTTTCCTTCACTCTGCGGTCAGACCCATCCCAAACTATCTCAATTGGGTTGAGGTAGGGGGATTGTGGAGGCCAGATCATCTGATGCAGCACTCCATCACTCTCCTTCTTGGTAAAATAGCCCTAACACAGCCTGGAGGTGTGTTGGGTTATTGTCCTGTTGAAAAACAAATGATAGTCCCACTAAACCCAAACCAGATGGGATGGCGTATCGCTGCAGAATGCTGTGGTAGCCATGCTGCTTAAGTGTGCCTTCAATTCTAAATAAATCGCAGACAGTGTCACCATCAAAGCACCCCCACACCATAAAACCTCCTCCTCCATGCTTTACGGTGGGAAATACACATGCGGAGATCATCCGTTCACCCACACCGTGTCTCACAAAGACACAGCGGTTGGCACCAAAAATCTCCAATTTGGACTCCAGACCAAAGGACAAATTTCCACCGGTCTAATGTCCATTGCTCGTGTTTCTTAGCCCAAGCAAGTCTCTTCTTATTATTGGTGTCCTTTAGTAGTGGTTTCTTTGCAGCAATTTCGACCATGAAGGCCTGATTCACACAGTCTCCTCTGAACAGTTGATGTTGAGATGTGTCTGTACTTGAACTCTGTGAAGCATTTATTTGGGCTGCAATTTCTGAGGCTGGTAACTTTCATGAACTTATCCTCTGCAGCAGAGGTAACTGTGGGTCTTCCATTACTGTGGCGGTCCTCATGAGAGCCAGTTTAATCATAGCGCTTGATGGTTTTTGGGACTACACTTGAAGAAACGTTCAAAGTTCTTGAAATGTTCCATATTGACTGACCTTCATGTCTTAAAGTAATGATGGACTGTCGTTTCTCTTTGCTTATTTGAGCTGTTCTTGCCATAATATGGACTTGGTCTTTTACCAAATAGGGCTATCTGATGTGTACCCCCCTACCTTGTCACAACACAACTGATTGGCTCAAACGCATTAAGAAGGAAAGATATTCCACAAATTAACTTTGAAGAAGGCACACCTGTAATTGACATGCATTCCAGGTGACTACCTCATGAAGCTGGTTGAGAGAATGCTAAGAGTGTGTGAAGCTGTCATCAAGGCAAAGGGTGGCTATATGAAGAATCTCAAAAATAAAATATATTTTGATTTGTTCAACACTTTTTTGGTTACTACATGGTTCCATATGTGTTATTTCATAGTTTTGATGTCTTCACTATTAATCTACTATGTAGAAAATAGTACAAATTAAGAAAAACCCTTGAATGAGTAGGTGTTCTAAAACTTTTGACCGTTAGTGTACATCCCCTCCAAGGTGCTTCTCTGCTGGCTATCATACTGGTAACATGGCCTCCATTGCGTTGCTGATGGGCCCCAGCATTCAATCGCATTGAGTAAGTCACCGCTCTCTCCTTGCTGTTGTTATGCTGGCCGAATTTTGTGCCTTGGTTGTGTTTATTGTGGGTCCTAGTGCTGGCTGGTTTCTAGTCTGTGGTTGGGTTCTGGCTTGCTGCCTCTAACTGTGGTGATCCTACAAACGGTGTGTTTCAATCTAACTGACTATCACACTGTGTGGATTGATTGACTTATAGCTGATTCCTCAACAACCTATTTTATTTGCGTGGATTTTAACAGAATTGTTCCAAAATGGCGTCTACCACTTTCTGCCATTCGGGGAAACTGACTTTTTCCAGATTGGCAGCAACCACCTTCAGAGACTACGGTGAACGTTTCATCCCATGTAGGAGCTGCACCTACTTTTCACAGTTCCGGGATAATATTGTCCGGACAAATTTCCAATATGGAAACTGTCAGCTTATTGTGGAATATATGTCTGAGCTGGAAGTCCAGAGTAAGCAAATTGAGACATTGCAGCGTATCCTGGATAGGTCCCACTCGAAGACCTTTTACTTTTCTACTGCTCAGCCTGGTTGTCGTGCCACTGCCTCGTCACCATGTTGCCACTCTCTGACTGACTGGCCAGAGCTGCCCTGCAGAGACCCCTCCCTAGTGAAGTCAGCTCTCCCCTCACATCTCACCTCCCCTCCCCACCTCTCTCGGAGAATAAAGGAGCAAGGACGCTTTATGAGGAGTTGGCGGATGCCACGGTTATCGATCCTGCATCCTAGTGGCGGCACGTCACACACCGTAAGCCCAGCGCAAGGCAGCGGTGAATGGGGCTGAAATGGCTTTGGGGGATCACATCCTGCTGACCAACAGTTTCGCCCACCTGCTTCCAGAGATTCCTACTCCTTCATCCTCTACCCAGTCTCCAGCCCAGGTTGTCTCTACCACATACAGTGCATTCGGAAAGTATTCAGACCCCTTGACCTTTTCCACATTTTGTTACGTTACAGCCTTATTCTAATATTGATTAAATTGTTTTGTTTTTCTCATCAATGTACACACACTACCCCATAATGACAAAGCAAAAACAGGTTTTTGCTCCAGAGCTCTCAGGACCTCAGACTGGGGCGAAGGTTCACCTTCCAACAGGACAACAACCCTAAGCACACAGCCAAGACAACGCAGGAGTGGCTTCGGGACAAGTCTCTGAATGTCCTTGAGTGGCCCAGCCAGAGCCCAGACTTTAACCCGATCGAACATCTCTGGAGAGACCTGAAAATAGCTGTGCAGCAACACTCCCCATCCAACCTGACAGAGCTTGAGAGGATCTGCAGAGAGGAGTGGGAGAAACTCCCCAAACAAAAGCTGAATAACATCCAGGTACTTTCCACAGGTGCTGGAGCTGTAGGCAAATTCATGGAAAACAGAAAGTAAAACGCTGAACACTGCTGCTCATGCTCCCAGGTGATATTTATTTAAAACAACGTTTCGACCATTAGGTCTTCATCAGGCATCCATATCCCAGGTGGGGGTGGAAGGTCCTATATATAAGGGGCAGTTCTCAGTGGTAAAAAATGTATAACATAGGTTCACAATATTAACATTCAATGTATCAAAATATATGATCATATACAAGGAATGTGATCAAAATGTACAGTAATATACATACAATATTCATACAATGTTCAATTAGGATAAAAAAGCACAATTTGGACATATTGAAACTATAAAAACGGTTTCAAGTCAAACTCCTCGTTAAGGCCAAGAGGAGACAGTGTGTTGAGCCTGTGGATCCAGAAAGATTCCCTTTGAAGAAGTTTCCTCTCAATGTCCCCTCCCCTGCGTGACATCTCTGATCCATGATAAATTGTCAAAATTTTTGAATGAAGGGGAAATTACAAAGACAGAATATGAGTACATGAAGGTTGACTGCCCAACCACACCTGTCATATACGCTCTCCCCAAAATTCACAAGAGCATGACACCAGCTATACCAGGCAGGCCCATTGTGAGTAGTAACGGATCTCTGACAGAGACTATCTCTACCTTTGTAGACTATGTTGTGAAACCCTGGGCGATCTCTCTCCCCACGTATACCAGAGACTCTATTGATTTTATTAATTTTTTGAAATCTGTGGACCATATACCAGAACATTCTATTCTGTGTACTTTTGATGTTACCAGTCTATATACTAAGATCCCCCATCAGGGCGGCCTAGAGGCCCTCAAGTTCTACCTCAATGAACGTCCCCCTAATGCTCTTCCCAGCACCAATTGTATTGTGGACTTGGCTGAACTGGAATTAACCTCCAACTATTTTCTCTTCAGAGGATACTTTTTCTTCCAGACAAAAGGGACAGCGATGGGGAGCACTATGGCTCCTAATTGTGCTAACCTATATCTAGGAATGTTTGAAAAACAGGTGGTGCTGAATCCAGACCTTAACCCCTTTCTCTCCAATATTCTCCTAATTCTGAGATATTTGGATGACATTTTCGTGATCTATACAGGGACCCAGGAATAACTTTTGTAATTCCATGCTTATCTAAACTCTATGAATGAACACCTTAATTTCACCATTAACTATGACCTATCCCAAATCAGTTTTCTTGATGTGATGGTTATTAAGGATAAAACCTCCCTCTCTATAGGAAACCTACGGACAGGAACACACTCCTTAGAGGTGACAGCTTTCATCCACGTCCACTTATTAAAAGTCTCCCTATAAGTCAATTCAG